AATAGGCATGAGATATATTTTGTAATTATACATGATGCACTTTCAAAGTTTAAAATATTTACAAAAATACTAATGTATTTGTTTTTTCCGTATTTTTTTATTTTTGAGCCATTGATCTTCCACAATCAACGTATAAGATCAATCATCAGTTTTTTACATGAGCGGATATTCTCACAAGATATGAGAACCACCCTCGCATGAGTCCATAAGAACCAATTTAGTGCATTAAAAAAATAGATCTATAAATAAGATAAATTGGGGTTTCAAAATTCACGTGTGCATATGAGGCATGTGCTTTTTACAGTTAGGGGTTCCAAAATTTGCATGTGCATATTAAGCATGTGTTATGTGTAACATAGGATATGCACACAACACATACCCCATATGCACACGCTAATTTTGAACCCACAACTAATATCATCCATGGATCTAATTTTTTAATGCAACAAATTGGTTTTCATGAACTCATGGGGAGGGTGGTTCTCGTATGATTCACACACACACACACACACACACACACACACACACACACACACACACACACACACACACACAGATATATATATATATATATATATATATATATATATATATATATATATATATATATATCCCACTGTTCAAGTGAGTCCACCCCTTCCCATGAGTCCGTGTGGACAGATCTAGTTCATTAAAAGCTAGAGATTAATGGTTAGATCTGGTCCATTATCAACTGGGCAACTGCGCAACTAACTGTGCAACTACAGTTGCACAATTGATAATGGACCAGATCTGACCATTGATCTCAAGTTTTTAATGGACCAGATCTGTCAACACGATCTCATAAGTAGGGGTGGACTCATTTGATCATGAGTCCTTAGAAAAAAAACTAATAACTAATCTTAACCTTAAATCCGAAAAAAATTTGATGGACCAGATCAAATTTAAAAAAAAAAAAAAAAAAAAAAAAAACGATGATATTTTCATAATTATCATCAACTTTACTATGCAAACTTGGACACAATAAAAAATATGCACTTTTCAAAATTTTTCAGGTTTACCATTTAGTATTAACATATTGTACAGTTAGTATTAACATTTTGCACATTCAATATTAAAATATTGCACTTGTAAAAAAGCGAAAACGCATTGAACTTTGAGTTTATGACTGAGATTTTGGTTGTATTTGGTTTAGATGTTTAGTGGTTCACTTTTTACTATTTAGGGTCTTTCGTTTATAGTTTAGATTTAAAATTTAGCCTTTTCATTGATTTTTTAAAATTTATCCAAGTTTGCATATTTAGTTGTTACATATAACATATATATTTAAGTGTTTAAGTTTGCAAAGTGAAGTTGACTATAATTACGAAAATGTCACCACGTTTATTTAACACACATTTAGCGTTTATGTGCACTTTTTTTTTTTAATCTGATTTGATACTTCCAATTTTTACAGATTTTTTCTTGAGGGTGTGTTCTCATGGGATACTATATATATATATATATATATATATATATATATATATATATATATATATAGTGAATTGATAAAATATAGCCTTTAAGTCTTTATTCAAACAAGTTAATATTAAATTAAAATAATCCAAACCAAATACATAAATGTTACTTGGAGACAGTCCATGGCTGGCCGGAGACGAAGCCTAGGGCTGTGTCTTTTTTGTTTTTTTTTTTAATTTTATTTTAAAAATTTATTTTACTTAAAATTATTAAAATAAAATTTTAAAAATTATTTTTAAATAAAGGAACCAACATGTCAGCACATTAACAGGTAAATTGCATGAATTTGTGTTGTTCAATAATACAATTGTAATTTTTTTTTGAGTTTAGTGACCTAATTATAATTTGATGTGTATTTGAATGGTCTATTTGAACATTCTTTTTTTTTTTTTTGAATATTACCGACTTTATTACATTAAAGAGCGGCAGTTAATATTTGAGAACTTGAGAACTAGTTGTACTATAAATCATTGTGACATGCGCCGGAGGAGTGGAAGCTAGCTTCGCGCATCACGGATTCCTGAATTTCATATTCGGTTTTGACTTTTGACTTCTGATATTGTTAGGTTAACCTGCCCAATTTTCCAGATCGTAATTGCATTTGATCCACCTGTTCGGATTCAAAATTTTGAATAAAGATCATCTTATGTTGAAATCATCGCATTTATTATTATTATTATTATTATTATTATTATTATTATAAAAATTGAGTCAAACCGCAAGGATTGTCACAATAAATGAACAACAAATGCTTTATTTAACAATTAATTTAGTTTCTAACTAATAACTATTAATTTGTCTACAAAAGGCGAAATTCTGTCACCCCAAGGTCCACATTCCGCCCTGATAGGATTGTGGAGGGTAACTTAGTGGTTCATTAGGTAAAAAATCAATGCCTAGTGCCAGCAATTATAAGCCATCACATTAGATGTAACTCCCATATTACGTCGATCTGTTATGACTTGATCAAGTATCTTTGTTAACCATCAAGCATTCTCGATTTAATATATATGGAAAATGATATATGTACTCCACGGGAGTAAAAAAAAAAAAAAGTAATAAAAACGGTGACCGACATTGTTTTGAATTAAATGAATCAAAAGGTGCCTTTCAAAAAAAAAAAAAAAAAAAAAAAAAAAAAAAAAAAAAAAAAAAGTGACATGTAAGTAGCGAATAAAAAATGGAGTAAAATGTGAGAGTACATGTAGTATTACCCATTTAATATTTTGTTTTGACATTGGGTGTAGGGTTGGGAAACTTGGGTTGGATGTATACCAACCCCCATCAATATTATTCATTGCAAAACTAATTAAGGATATTTTTCTCTCGGTGTTCAGACTCAATGTTTATTATCCATTGGGAGTTATAATACATAGACTCTCCAATTATTATTATCTAGATTATACTATTAAATAATGTATATTTAATACCTAAGTAATGTACTTTTAGTATATTAAAAATTTACATTATATTAAGGAAAAGTGTATTATCTGAGTACTGAAAGTATATTATTTTATATAATGTACATTCAGTACACGAATAATGTACTTTTAGTATATTAAAATGTACTTTTGTTATGATCCACAAAATAATTTGTCATAGACTCCTTATTTTTACTCCATCACTTTTACTCATTGATGTGGCAAGGGATGATAAGTTATCTTCCTCCTGAGTAACAAAGAAAATGTTAACATCTCAATTTTGAGAGGGGGTAAAACTTGAGAGTAGAAGGAGCTAGTATTTTTCAGCAAAACTAATTAAGGATATTTTTCACTTTTTTGTACTGTTTTATTATAATTTTTAATTTCAAAATTTATATACAATAGTATTTTTAATATAATTTTTTTTTAATATAGTTTTTAACATTTTAAATTTTAGGTATTTATGCTAAACTAAATATTACAAAAAGTTAAAATTTTAATCATTTGACTCAATTTTTAAACAAATGTTACTTTTTCCCTTTTAATTTAAAATTAACCTTTATGTTCATCTTTTGAAAAAGCATGATGGAGTTTTAAAAAATAGAAATAATCGTTTTTGTTTGTTTTTGAAATAAAATAATCGTTTTCATTAGTTAGTGATAAATTAGCTACCTACTCATTCATGAGTTAATCATATTAAAAAGTGTTACAAAATTCTTTATCCTGAATCTGCAGTATTGCCTTTATAAAATGTAGTAACATATATGTGTAATATTGAAATGGTTTCTAATATTATTTGATTGTGCCTGATAACAACGAAAATCATTATTTATGTTGAACCTAGGAAAGTAAAATTCTTAAAAAATTGGGATTGAATAGATTTTTAAAAACTTTTTGAGTAAATAAAGTTATCAAAGTATTTGTAGCGGAATTCTTATACTTGCCAACTTTTGTTTGTAGCTTATTTAAATGATTTGCAATTCGTATGGAAAGTAGTGAGGTGTAGTGTTATGGTTTGATCAACCGATAAATTAACTGTTATGTTTGTTTTTTTTTTTTTTTTTTTTTTTTTTTTTTTTTTTTTTGTAAATATTTTATACTCACCAAGAATCATTTTATATGCTTCGACCCTAAAGAGTATCATCTCCTTTCGCTTCAGGGCCTGTAGCGGAAACATTCGTGCATGGAAGAGGAAGGCTTCCATGCATTCGCCATTGTTCTTTCTTTCTTTTTAGGAAAAATGGTAAACTAGACTCTTTACTAAAAAAGTCAATTAAGTTCAATATATAGGTTGAGAAAGTATATATGAACAGATACTACATGTAACAGGTCAATAGTACTCAAAAAAAAAAAGTTCATAAACTTTTAAAAATTACAATTAAATTCAGCAATATGTCATTTTAGTGCATTGAAGCTTAAAAACCGATTAGTGACCTGTAATAGCAAGTCACTAGGGTTCTGACGATCCTCCGACCAACTAGCCACCTCTGGCAACCATATGGTCGCCTCCTCCAGCAGAGCAGAAGGCGACCATTTTGGTTGCCTTCTCATGTAGGGTCGCCGGGATTTGATCGGGAGGCGGTCGGAGAGTCGCTGGAACTCTAGAAACTTACTATTACAAGTCACTATCCAGTTTTTGGCCTTCAATGCACCAAAATGACATGTTCATACGTTCAATTGCAACTTTTGAAAGTTTAAAGACCTAATTGACTTTTTGAGGAAATTTTAAGCGTTTATTTAACATTTTTTCTTTCCTTTTAATCATATAATTAATAATTAATAAGAAAATTAATTAATCCGCTTTATTGCTTCAATCCATGTTTACAATATTTTAAAAATTAATTTGTTTAATTGTGATTTCATACAACAAAATATATTTTTACAGTAATTTAGATGGCATAATAATAAGTCAAAGACCTTGTGGTTAAACATCATAACTGTGGTCTCAATAGTATTTGAGAAAATATGTATTGACAGATACTACATTATAACAGAGTCAATAATACTCAAAAAAAAAAAAAAAAAAAAAATTGCATAATAATAATAATTTATTAAGTAAACGATATTAACCATCGCATTAACTTATTACAAACAAGATCAAAATTCAGAGCAATGACGGGCACAAAACTAGTTTGTTGCGAAAGTAATATTTTGAGCGTTCAATTAATCTCCTAATCACATTAATAATTAATAATATTGAAATAACAAGACTTTCTTGCATAGAAAAAGAAAAAAAAAAAAATTACTAGCTAAATTAAACTCTCTCATCCTCTTCTTGAATCCGAGCCAAAATTCGATTCGCAACAGTTGCAATTCTCTTCACAGAGGTGAACTTGGAGCCATCTTCCACCTGCAGTAAAAGAGGAAAAAAAAAAAAAAAAAAAAAGTCACATCTCAGTAAATCCTGTGACTTTACTTAAATACACATTTTACACTGTCAACTTATTAACAATTACCCCCTTCCCCACATAAGTCAATTATCTCACTAAATTATAAACAATGAAATGAAAAGATAAAAAGCTAGCAACACAGGACTTTCCCTCTCTAACTGATCCACTTTCTTCAGCCAACACTTAAAATCTCCACGTTTTCACTTAAGTCATGTTTTCCTTATATATTGCATGAACAGAAAATATAAAGAATTTCATTAAATCAATTAAGGAGGCATATATGAAAATCAAAATTTTCCTTCAATTTTCAAATTTTTAACTAGCCGTGGACCTTCAAAAGTAAAGTAAGAGCAAAGTCGTCATTTTAGAAAATCCATGCTTGGTTAAAATTTGAAAGTTGAAGAATCACGACTAGTTAAAATCATTGTTGTAAAAATTGTCTTAGGCGGCTACCTAGGCGCCCGAGTCGGCCAATTCAGTCGAGTGTTTTTTTTGAGTTGTTTTTCTTATTATTATTACTCCTAGACGCTCTAGGCGCAAGGCGCGCCCAAATGCCTGAGTAGCGCCTTCAAAAACATTGTTTAAAATTTGAGAGTTGGACAAAAGCTGGTTAACTTGAAAGTTTAATGGACCATATGTGGTTAACTTGAAAGTTTAAGACTAAACGTGACAAAATTATTGTATTCGGAGGACTTAGATGACATTAACTGTAAAATTTGATGAAGAGCAGAAAATGTATGAGTTTACCTTGAGGCTAAGAGAGCAGAGAAGAAATTGATCAGTCCTTGATAGGTTGAAGTGAAGGACAGTTAGCATGAGGGTTTCAATCTGAGAAATGAATCTGGGAAGCAGCTTTGGTCGCCATTTGGAGTGTAGCTTAAGCTCAACATTATTATGGTTTTCGCCACCCATCGTGACTTGTATGTGATCGCCACACGGCGTTGACAATTCATATCCACGGCAACCATCACTTGCACCAATATTCGCATCTTGAAGAAGATTTGCAGTGCTATTCTTGGCACACAGGAGTTGCAGCTCTTCTTCTAGCTCTTTCACATAGTTTATTGCTCCACCTAGGATTGATGCTTCATCACCCTGCTCATCATATATATTTTTTGTTAGAGCATCTCCAACAGTTGTAGTTTTTGAAGAGTTTTTGCCGGTGTGATTAATTAAAAAAGAGAAGATGATGGGGGAGAGGAAAAATAAAAAAACAAAACAAAACAAAGTTGAAAAGAAAAATAAAAAAGATTCACGTTAGTAACACGCTCGACTGGGTGCTAGGTTGCCCTTCACGCAACCAAGCTTGCCAGTAAGATTTATTGCAGTGGGTCTCACAAAGTCTACCACAAACAAAGGCATTTTAGGATTTTTTTTTTTTCTCTCCTCACTCTCTCTTATCCATCAAGAACTACAGGTGGAGATACTCTTAGACCATAGGTATCCTAAATAAATTATAAAGGCACATTTAAGCCTGTACTATACTCAGACTAATCCTTATTCGTACCGGAACGGTTCAATTAAAGGGCAAAGTGTTGGTCATATTAATTTTTTCACACGAGAAGGGATTTTGAACTCACTAGTGATTTTTCTATACGAGAGACGATTTTGAACTCACGATCTCTATTAAGAGATAAGAGTGCACGATCACTCCAACCAATCTGGTTTGCGCATTTTATATATATTACCATAACAAAACTCTTATACTTCAATTTTTTTTTTCTTTTTTTTTTTGGGATTGAATTTAAGTTACTATTGACCCTCTTAGAAAAAGCTCTTCCAAACACTAATGATGAGTCTGGATGGCACTTGTGGAGCATGTAATCGTTATAATACCTTCTTCTCTTATACATCAAATTACTAACAACAACAACAAATAATAATAATAATAATAATAATAATAATAATAATAATAATAATAATAATTAAATTTCAAACTCTTGATATACACAAGTGAAGGTGGCAAATGGGATACTTGGACAAGTCAAAAGAGGTTAAAGAAAAAGAATAATGTTTTCCAACTTGTTAACATGACTATGGATTATTATAATATTAATGTGTCGGTAATAACAATTTTGATATATTATAAAATTTTAACAATATATATTACAAATAATTAAAGTTGTAATTTGTAAAGAAAAAAAGAACATATTATTTTAATTACAAAACTTAATAAGTTAAATTTTGTACAATCTCTTATTTAACTTGTTTTTTTTGTGTGATGAAAGAAACACACAGTCACTATTCGAGGATGTGTAGTGTCTGAGTAATTCTGCTTTGTGACCCTAGTTGGTAAAGGATCACAAGGAGGTAAACCATCCTAGGGTGTCCATAGCTAACCTGCTCAATTTTATTTTAAAAAAAAAAAAATCTATTGGACCACAAGAAGGTAAACCAACTTAGATTGTCCATAATTGACCGGCTTAAACTAGAATAACCAATAGGTCGCTCCCATTGAAAATTGAACTTATAATCTTGTGGTTAACAAATCAATCGTTTGACCAACTCTACTGGGTGAGTTCTACTTAGTACTTACATGTACTCTCAAATCTTACTCCCTCAAATTTACTCTCTGTGGTGGTTCTGATAAGCTATTTTTTTTTTAATGTGGGTCATCAAGATTTTGTGTGTAAGTATAAATTAAGAGTAAAAAATGAGAGTAGACATAATATTTTCTTGTTGGGTTTTCCCTAACTTGTTTTTTAAAGATAATCTTAAAATTAAAAGGGTCTCAATTAAATTACTGAATGATAGGCGGAGCTATATATATATATATAAACCACCTATCCAAAAAAAAAAAAAAAAAAAAAAAAAAAATCAAACAAAGAAAAAGAAAAAGAAAACAGCTGATCAAACGAACTACCTTTTGGATATAAGATTCTGGTAACAGGCTATGGAGATAGGAAAGATTGTCATTGATTTGTTGGCGGCGGTTAGTTTGAGCGTTGCTTCTCCGGTGCAGCTGTCTTGTCGGACCAGCAACCTCGTCTTCTTCTTCTGCAACAACAACGTGGTCGGCAGGAGGAGAGTTTGGAAGCCATTGGTGATGATGATGAGGTGGTGGATAATAACTGCAGGCTTCAAATTCTGGGAAATTTGGGCATTGAAACTCGAGTGGGAATTGGTTATTATTAGCAACAAAGTCACAACCACTCCAGCTCACTTGGGGGACTTTGTAGAGCGCCATAGCTTCAAGCTCCATTAACACTAATCTCTCTCTTTAATTCCCTATGGTTGTTGTTGGGGTGAATTGTCTCAGGTTTTAAAGCTCTTCAATTCCGACGGTGCAAATTATTTGTGGACCCGGTTCCACTTTGCAACGTGGACTCAAGTCTAAATGTTCACAATTTACCTACTAAAACACAAAGAACCAATAACGCCTCCACTAAAACTTGAACTCACAACCTTCCAAATGGAAGTCCAAACCAAGTACCATTAGAGCACATAGTCCTGATAACATATATGTATTTGATTATCTTGTTTTGTATTTACAAGTTCTTTTCAAATACTGCTATGAGACAATATTAAAAGAAGGAATTTAATGACCCTATATTGTATTCACAAATTTTCTTGTATCGTTGTTATATGTTTTGACTTTAAAACGTAACTTAAAGTTTTGACAATTTAAAGGGGCAAGATGTAATTTTGGATTTAGTCATAAATTATGATTCCATTTTCGAATTTAGTTCTTTAATATTTGATCATATTTTGCCTTAATTTTAATAACAGTACATGTGTCCAAATATAATCTGTTGAGCATATAACTATTAATGTGCAATCCAATTATCAACTTAGGCTTTTAGTTGAGATGGAGCACATGTTTTAATTTGGTATTAGAGCTAGACCAAAGGTCATGGGTTCAAAACTCAGCCCCATAAGCGACTATGGTCCACAAGTGAGGAGGATCGCTTTTGGTTAGACCACGAGATGTCCTGAGTACTATCGCGCCACCCATAGACCACGAGATGTCCTGTGTACTATCGCGCCACCCATAAGCGAAGCGACTATGGTCCACACGTGAGGGGGACCGCTTTTGGTTAGACCACGAGATGTCTTGAGTACTATCGCGCCACCCATAGACCACGAGATGTCCTGAGTACTATCGCGCCACCCATAAGCGACTATGGTCCACACATGAGGGGGACCGCTTTTGGTTAGACCACGAGATGTCCTGAGTACTAAGCGACTATGGTCCACAGGTGAGGGAGACCGCTTTTGGTTAGACCACAAGATGTCCTGAGTACTATCGCGCCACCCATAAGCGACTATGGTCCACACGTGAGGGGGACCACTTTTGGTTAGACCACGAGATGTCCTGAGTACTATCGAGTCACCCATAAGCGAATATGGTCCACACGTGAGGGGGCGTGTTGAGCATATCCGCTTTTGGTTAGACCACGAGATGTCCTGAGTACTATCGCGCCACCCATAAGCAACTATGGTCCACACTTGAGGGGGCGTGTTGAGCATATCCGCTTTTGGTTAGACCACGAGATGTCCTGAGTACTATCAGCGCCACCCATAAGCGACTATGGTCCACACGTGAGGGGCGTGTTGAGCATATCCGCTTTTGGTTAGACCATGAGATGTCCTGAGTATTATCAGCGCCACCCATAAGCGACTATGGTCCACACGTGAGGGGGCATGTTGAGCATATCCGCTTTTGGTTAGACCACGAGATGTCCTGAGTACTATCAGCGCCACCCATAAGCGACTATGGTCCACACGTGAGGGGGCGTGTTGAGCATATGGCCATTAATGTGTAATCCAAGACTTTTGGTTAGACCATGAGATGTCCTGAGTACTATTAGCTTAGGCTTTTGGTTAGACCACGAGATGTCCTGAGTAAATCTTAACTGTAGAAGGTATCTTTAAGAGAATCTGAAACTTAAGTGGATTAGACTAAGCTGTTCTAAGACTACTCTTGTTTCACAAATAATGTGAAAAAAAAATATACAAGAGAGCTTGTACGTAGAGTCGTAGACTCGAATTAGTTTTTTTTTTTTTTTTTTTTTTTTCTTATTAAGTTTTTTAAATAAAATTTTAATAAATATATTAACAAATTATCATTTATGAAAAAAAAAACTTATTATAACTCTCATGTGATAAATGTAAATAAATAAATTATTATTAATTTTTAATTAAAACCAAATTCATTAAAATAAAAAATTGCTTATATATTATATATAAATATCCATAAATGTTACATTATGCTTTTGAGTTTGAAATTGAAATTGGAAATTTTGATTGATTAAATGATGTTTAAAGATTAATGTGAATATGCTAGCTACTTAGCTAGTCTGTTATAGTTGAAGTTTTTAAGAAGTTAATTTTAAAATATTAAAAGTTTTAATTGAGTACATCCAATCAAAAAAATTGATGACCTTAAATTTTAGGCAATTTATATCCTACACCATGACGCGCATTGCATTGTGCGCCCTGATGCAAAACGACGTCGTTTCAGATTTTTTTTTTTTTTTTTTTAAATTTCGCTACCCTGTGTTGGCGGTTAATTTTCTTTAAAAAAAATCTCATGTTTAAAAATGTACATAATTTTATACTAGAATACACATAATTGTATACATGAATGTACATAATTGTATAACAAAATACACATACTTTTAAAAAAAAAAAAAGATAATACATATAATCTAACATAATACATAATATACATAAACTTTTAACATAATAAACATTAACTCTTAACATAATACACATAAATTTCATGTTTCGGATGTACATAATTGTATAAAATAGATGTACATGATTGTATAAAAAGTGTACATAACTGTATAAACAAATATACATCATCAAGTCAACTGCCTACATAACTTACCAAAACGACATTGTTTTGAGAGGCACGGGGCGCATAGTGCTATGCGCGCCGTGGTGCAGGGTATAACGATTGTAAATTTTATGGCTAGGGCAAAAACATTTTAGCTTGATAAAAATCAGTTCGATTAACCCAAAACTAATAAGCTCAATGGCCCAAGAGACTGGCATGAAACTAATTGGATTGGCCTAATTGATATCCTTTTGTCAAATTCATCACAAAGACTTTGAGTAAAGAAAAATTAATCATTAAAAAAGTCTAATAAAAAAATAGTAAAATGAAATTGATAAAATATGACGAAATTATTATATTTTTTTTCGTTTTCTTTTTCTTTCATTTCTTTCATTTTCATTTTTCTCATTCTTTTCATTTTTCCTTTTTTTTTTTTTCAATTCTGATTCATACTTCAACAAAACAAATACATCAAGAAAATCGGGGCCTTAGTTCAAGGTGGATCATAATCCTCAAAAAACACCGAGGGGACATCATCATGAACAAGCAAAGCACGCACCTTCGGCGGTAAGTCAAACAAAAAAAATAAACTCCCCATCCTTATTCCCAACTCAATCTGCCAATGCAGCCACAGGAAGATTACCCTGCGGCAAACACTGAAGAACGAAATTATTAATTAAAAATTTAACTTAAAACACTACCACAATGAAAAGCTGAATCTGCGATTATCACTTTTTCTCCGAAAAGATTGAATCTCAATTTTAAGGGGCCCCACACCTTGACCTGATAAAACATTTGAGATGATATAAATCACAATGCATGACTTAACGACTCAACAGACGATATCAAAAGTCGATGCGCACAAAAGATCTGCGATTAACACTAGACTACATACTCCATGTATGTTCTCAATTGTAACAAGAAAGTATGTTGTGGCTATGGAGTCCACATGCAACAGGGACGAGGCACGTGAAGTTTCCAATTAACTTACTGAAATGATGATATCAAGAAATCATATTTTGTATCGGAGTAACCTTTTGTTATACTTTCAAAAGGACATTTACAAAAAACAAAGAGAGAATTACCTTTTGGAATAAATATATGTGGCTCTTCAATTTTTGTAAATTTTCTATTACCACATAAAGTCTATGATTGATTGACTTTATTACATGAGATTGTCGTAATAAATGCATCAAACCATCAAATAAGAGCAGCTCAATTGATTAAAGGGGTAAAATTTAAGAACAATGACTCTCGATCAAGTTTCACCAACGGCAGTGTGGGAGCAACCTCTCAAAGTGAGGGAGACTCCTTAAGCGACGTAATAAACAAATGCCTAGCCTCTGTGTTAAGCTAAGTTACCATGATTTAGATCCTTCAAAATGCTCTGTTGGGTTGGGGAGTGGGAGCCATTGGCCTGGGGTTAGGATTCAACTTTTTTTGGAACAACAAACTATATAATAATTTTTGTGTGACTTATTGATTCAAAAAGATATTCTTTTGTTACAAAAAAAAATGCTTTTTATTTTTTATTTTTAATTCTAAAGATGTAAGTTAATATTTCTTTTATTTAAAATTTGTTTTGCTCTTTTATGTCTTATTAATGTTTTTATTAGATAGGTGTGTGTTATTGTTATGAATGTTATCTTACTTTAATTTTTTATACTGGCTATCATGCTTGACATTTTTAAATTATCTTTGTAATTGTATCCCTGGTCAATATGAAAGCTTTGGCATGGTAGCCCTTGTGAAATGTGTTATTTTGAAATAGATTAAGTTATAAATTGCAGCATTACTTATTATATCCATTTCAGATTATACTTCTCTTTATGATTCTTTTTCCTTCTTCAAGCACACTCAGCTCGTTAAATACTTGACCATTCGGTAGGTAAGAAAAAAATAGGGAAATCAAATAGGCCCCTAAATTTTATATCAAAAGTCAATTAGGTATTTGAACTTTTAAAATGTGCAATTAAGCCCTCACACATGTTAAATTGAAGCAATGAGACCCAAAAATAGGTAAATGACCTCTGGTCGCTTTTCGTCGGAGGAGGCGATCGGCGACGGTTCGACCGTCACTGATCGTCGGATTTTCGCCTGAATATTTCGCCAGATTTTGGTAACCTATTATTACAAGTCATTTACCTGCTTTTTGGGCCTCATTGCTTCAATTTGACATGTTTGAGGGATTAATTACACCTTTTAAAAGTTCAAGTACCTAATTGACTTTTGAAATAAAGTTTAGAGGCCTATTTGACCATTTTCTCATAAAAATATGAACACACAATTTATATATTAATATAATATTTGTTTGTCCCAAGCATGTAAATTCAAGATGGGAGAGGAGAAGAGGGGAGGGGTTGAATAGACTTTTTAATATTTTTTTGGCTAAATAAAATTATCAAAGTGTTCGTAGTGGAAGTTTTAAACTTGCC